GGACCTAATAAATCCCTTTAAAACTTAGGTGGGTGACAGGCAAACCCAAGCGTGCAAGTTAACCTTAATTTAAGCATGGATAGAAAAGTTAGGCATTTAGCCAATAATTTAAACAAAAACCAAACAAATCATCTCTTGATATTACAAATCTAAACCCCAAAAATCTCCATTTGTCAATCATTGTTCATCACAGTATAATCAATTCCTTTGGAGTTAATGGGTTTTTCTCTCTTTCCATTGCCACCACATAACCCACTAAGTGTATTACTACTCCAAATTGTGCATCAAACCCACCATTTATAACAAAGTTTTGGATACAATTTTTTTATTCTCCAATGTCCTAACTTCCAATTCATAGGCTTTTGGAAAGAAAGCTAAGAGCTCAAGTGACTATTTATGTATGCATATAAGGTTTGTTGTGAGGTCCAAGAGGGAGGCTAAGAAAAGTGGCCAAAGTTGTTGTGTTCAGCAATGGCATCAGGTGGAAGCTTGGAGTGGCGGGTGAATGTGGGTGATGGAGCAACGGAGGTTCTAAGGCCAGAGGGCTCATTTGTGAGCAGAATGGTGATGGGGGTGAAGGGCTTTGTTTGGGGATTGTTTATGAAGGGTTGGATGTTCTTGGAAAAGGCTTGGGGCATAGCTAACTCTGAGCCAAAGAAGGCTGTTCATGGCCTTAAAGTGGGGCTGGCTCTCTCCATTGTGTCTGTCTTTTACTATATGAGACCTTTGTATGAAGGGATTGGAGGCAATGCTATGTGGGCTATTATGACTGTTGTTGTCACTTTTGAATCCTCTGTGGGTTAGTTTTTCAAACCCCCTTTTGTTCTTTATAAGCTTATCAATTTTTTTTTTTTTTTTTTGTTATTTTGAAATCTCACATCGGTTGGAGAAGGGAATGAAGCGTTTCTTATATGGGTGTGGAAATCTCTTCCTAGTAGACACGTTTTAAAACCGTGAATCTGACGGCGATATGTCATGGGTCAAAGTGGATAATATTTGTTAGCGGTGGACTTAGGTTGTTACAAATGATATCAGAGTTAGACAATGGGTGGTGTGCCAACGAGGTCGCTGAACCCTCAAGAGGGGTGGATTGTGAGATTCCACATCAGTTGGAGAGGGGAACGAAGCATTCTTTATATGAGTGTGGAAATTTCTTCCTATAAACGCGTTTTAAAATTGTGAGGCTGATGATGATACGTAACGAGCCGAAGCGGACAATATCTGCTAGCGGTGGGCTTTGACTGTTGTGAATGGTATTGGAGCCAGACACTGGGTGGTATGCCAGCGAGGATGTTGGGCCCCTGAGAGGGGTGGATTGTGAGACCCCATATCGGTAGGAGAGGGGAACAAAGCATTCCTTCTAAGGATGTGGAAATCTCTCCTTAGTAAACGTGTTTTAAAACAGTGAGGCTAACGACGATACGTAACGGGTCAAAGCGAACAGTATCTGCTAGCGGGAGACTTGAGCTGTTACAAATGGTATCAGAGCTAGACACTGGGCGGTGTGCTAGCGTGGACGTTGGCTCACAAAGGAGGTGGACTATGAGATCCCACATCGGTTGGAGAGGGAAACAAAGCATTCCTTATAAGGGTGTGGAAACCTCTTTCTAGTAGACACGTTTTAAAACCGTGAGACTGACAGCGATACGTAACGAGCCAAAACGTACAAATTATTTCCATCATGATCGGAAACACCCGTCATAATTATTAATACGTCGATTATAACGTTGGATAGTTGCTCTATTTTGCAGGCGCAACGTTTTACAAATGTGTAAATAGGGTAATAGGGACTTCACTTGCTGGTGGTTTGGGCATTGGAGTTCATTGGGTGGCAGCTGAATCAGGCGATAGATTTGAACCAATAATCCTTGGAATCTCCCTTTTTCTTTTAGGTAATCATTATTGACTCAATCTTTTGGTCTCTAAAAGCTTTCACTAATTCCATTACCAACTCTCTTATTGGCTCTATGTTCCCATGCATGCAGCTTCAGCCACCACCTTCTCTCGGTTCATACCATCAATAAAAACAAAATTCGACTACGGCGCCATGATCTTCATCCTCACCTTCTGCTTAGTTTCGATCTCGAGTTATCGAGTCGATAAGCTGTTCGAGCTTGCTCATACCAGGCTAACCACCATCGCCATCGGGACGTCGCTGTGTATTATCATCAGCATGCTTTTCTGCCCCATGTGGGCTGGCAGTCAGCTTCATAGCCTTGTCTTCCGCAACTTGGATAAGCTTGCTGATGGCTTGGATGGTAAATATCTCTCGTCTTCATTCATACTATTCGTTTCAGTGTGCTTCGATCGAGGGTTTAGGTTCTAATCACTTAACCCGTCTTTTGTTTTCAATGCAGGTTGTGTTTCTGAATACTTCAAGAACGTTGATGATCCCGAGATGGAAAATGAAGATCAAGAGTGTCATGATTCGAAAGCTCAAAGCTATAAATGTGTGCTCAATTCAAAGGCATCGGAGGAGTCAATGGTAAGAAAATAGATACCATTGTTGTTTGTTAGAAATCACGAACCTCTACAATGCTATCATACTGTCCACTTTGAGTATAAACTCTCATGGCTTTGCTTTTGGCTTCTCCAAAAGACTTCATACCAATGGAGACAGTGTTCCTTGCTTATAAAGTCATGATCATCCAGTTAACTAGCCAATCAATCCTCCCCTCGAACAAAGTACACCATAGAGCCTCCCCTTAATCGAGGTTTGACTCCTCTAGAGCCCTCGAACAAAATACACCCTTTGTTCTATACTTGAGTCACTTTTAACTATACCCTTCAAGGCTCACAACTTCTTTGTTAGATATTCAAGGTTTCTATTGACATAACTAAGTTAAGGCATAGCTCTGATACCGTGTTAGAAATCACAAACCTCCACAATGATATGATATTGTCCACTCTAAGCATAAATTCTCAAAAGGCCTCGTACCAATGGAGATATAAACCCATGATCAACCCTTTAATTAGCCGACATGGGATTCCTCTCTCAACAATCCTGAACACTATTTTCATAATTTGCAGGCAAATTTTGCAAGATGGGAACCAGCACATGGGCGTTTCGGGTTCCGACATCCATGGAAACAATATCTCGAGGTCGGAGTAGCAATGCGCAAATGTGCATATTGCATTGAGGCTCTTCATGATTGCCTAAACTCAGAGATAAAGGTAAAGGTGCTTAAAACTCCAATTGATAGCCTCTTCATAATGGAATATTTGATCTAATTCACTTGTTTTTGGATGTTCATGCAGGCACCAAACTCATTAAAATTGCTTCTAGTTGAGCCATGCAAGGCACTAAGCACCTCTTCTTCCAAAGTCTTGAAGGAGCTATCTATTGTAATCAAGACGATGAAGAAATCAACAAAGATTGATTTGGAAGTGTCAGATATGAACATTGCTGTTCAAGAGCTTCAAGCTGCCATAGCTTCATTTCCAAGCACTCAAACAGCCAATGAAGAACATGAAGCTGCAACAATTCCACCTCTAATGGAGCTGCTTCCACTGGCTACATTGGTGTCATTGTTGATTGAAACGGCGTCAAGAATCGAACATGTTGTGAACGCGGTCGAGACGTTAGCAAACGTTGCTAATTTCGACTCGGAAGAGGAGAAGAAAAGGTCATGTTTAGATAACAATGATCATGTTGCCATGAGAGTCTTTCCCGAGGCTTGAGTTCATTAGATCATTAAAATGGTTGGTTATATATATATCATAACTTGTAAGCTTAAATCTCCTTTTTAAATAACATTATGACTATACACTGTATAGAGTCTCACATACCCTTTGTACTATTTTAAAACTCCTCAAAGAACTTATGAATATTTACTATTAGCCATATGATATAAACAAACATCTTAAACCTTCATCTTGAATTATTCAACAAATGAAAGGAGGGATCGATCATCGACCATGGTATTCCATAAGATTCAACGGGACCTATTACACGACTCATGGCTGAGAAGATTCAACAATCATTTATTCTCATCTACAAATTGGATAAGCTTGATTCAACCTCCATTTCATATGTTATAAGCTGACTCGAGTGAGGAAGAATTATTTAGAGATTTGGTAGTCAATATTAATCGAGGAACAGGGTTGACATAAATAACACTAACTTTATTTATTATTTTAATTTCATAACTTCTTATAGTGGGCATTTGAAGGGTATCGGAGAGTTACAAAACTTGTCAATCATAATCCTAACTTATAATAATCACATTTAAAGGGTAGTAGGAAGTTATCAAACTTGTCAATCAACAAAATTGGATGGTTGGATTGGGTTGGGTTGGGTTGTGGATTAGATTACCTTATCCAGATACGAGGATAAAAGATGATGTTTTTTCCACTTTATGTCAAGAGGCAATGTGACGTAGTAGATTGGATGAATGTTGTTAATGACCTCGTAAAAAAAAATGATCAATTTGTTGTAAGTTGTCATGAAGAATAGGTTCATGCATCTTCTATGCATGTATTGTCATTTCGTGGTTCATAACTCTCATTTAGTTCATAACATTTTTGGTTCATATTCTCATTTATTTGATTCAGGTATGAGAATTAGTATTGCTATGTCTATATAAAGACATGTATAGCATTTTTTTGAGGTGTGAATTCATTGTCATTTTGTATTACGTATAGGTAATTGAGAGAAACTTCTTAGTTTGAGAATATGAGAGATACACTTGTAAACACTTTAGTTATAGTGATTGGCTACTGCCAGTAGATATAGGAAAATTTCTTCTCTCCGAATGACGTAAATGTTTGTCTCTTTGTTTAAGCTCTGTTTGTTGGGATGTGAGTGCGACCAATCTTACCTCCGCTTCCGCTACAATAATTGGATATCAAATCATTTTTGGATGTGACATTAGGGTACAACACCATTTTATAGTGTATAGTTCATGTTCATATATTTGTTCTAGAGTAACTCTACTTATCCATTCGAGAGACTCAAGCCACAAACCCTCCAAATCAATGTGAAGTAAAAAACTCAAGAATTTTTCAAAATCCCCACTTATTTATTATTTAATGAAGTGAAGCACATTCACATATGAACATGCCTCAATCCATTCTTATGTGTGGATCTTCAAACAAGGCCATAGAGCTACACAGAATCATGAGTTCCATATTCAACAATATTGTCAGGCATTCTTGTCGGGCTGTCGTTTTCATCAGCAACGCTCAGTTTGTAGTACAGCAGGAGCTTGATATTGCTTTGAACAACCCCAGCTGATGTACTGGTTACACTAAATCGTGTGCCATTAGGGCTTATAAGCTCAACGGGGCTCTGGAATTGTCCCCTTCCAGTACTATTTGCTATCTGGATTTGCTTGGAGAGAGCTCCCCAGTTGTTTTCTAAGCTTATCACTGCTTGGTTTGGATAAAACTTATCGCTAATATGCTGAGCAACCTGTTGCTCAATATATTTAAACCTCGCAGCTTCAGCACTGGACTGAATCAGCACAAGAAGCGCCGCGGCAGTAAGTTGTTTATTGTAGTAAACCATGTTGGTAACTGCAGTGCTCAAGGCGGGGATTCCAAGCTCAATCAAATCTCTATATTTGCCTACAATGCTTTGGAGCTTATCATAGTTACCCGTAAAAGGAAGTGTTACCTTTTGTGTATTTGGAAATAAGAGTTGCTTGGCTTCAGCTGGAGTGTCTTCGAAAAAGTAGGAGCTTGCATCGGCACGATACGCTACGATGTAGACGTTGGTTACGTTTACAGCGACCGTGATGGTTTGGTAGTTATAATTGGTGATGGTGAAGAATGTGAACCAGCCTAAGCCCGATGCGGTGGAAGGCAGCAGGGGTATGTTGCACACTGTTGCTGTGGTTGGAAGAGCATTCCTGAGCTGGGTTATGAAAGCTGAATAGGATGCTTTGGTAGCTGTGGACAAATCGAAGGTTATATCAGCCTTGAGAGTGGGAGAGATAAGAGAGATGGCGACTAAGAAAGAGGTGATTGCTATGAGTTTGTTCATCTTTTTCTCTTGGTTAGTTTGAGTGGTATGAGGATCTTGATGTCTCTTTATAGATGGGGGCAATGTTTTGGATATTTTTCTTCTTCTAACCACGACCACAAATTCGAGGGAAACAAAACATTTTTTATAAGAGTGTGGAAACTTCTTCGTAGCATATACGTTTTAAAACCGTGAGGCTGACGACGATACGTAATAGGCCAAAGCGGACGAACTATTACTCCCAAGTGAAGGGTTGACGATGATATGTAACAGGCCAAAGCGGATAATAATATCTACTAACAGTGGGCTTAAGTTATTACAAATGGTATTAGAGCCAATCACCAAACAGTGCAAGGCACTGGTCGGAGTAGGGCTAGACCCTCTCCATAATAGACATATTTGAATACAGTGAGACTGACAACAATACCTAACGGGACAAAGCGAAGGGGCTAGTACACCTAAATGAAGGGCTGATAACAATATATAACGGATCAAAGTAGACAATATCTACTAGTGGTGAAAGTAAAGAAAGGTACTTAAATTAGCAACCGGGAACTCTCTCCAACAATCTTATCTTAACAGAGAGACCAAATCACTGTAAAAATTGAAAAATCAAAACCTAAAATTTACGACTAAATTGTTATAAAAGAAAGTTGAAGGACTAAATTATTACGCTCCCGAAAGTTCGATCGAAAACGAGAGAAAAGGAGAAATATTCCATCCTTTTCTATATACTTCTATTTTTTTTATAAAAAAAATAAAACCAAGTAATAATGGAAAGAATTCATAGTAAGAAAGAAGACAAATTAGAGTCACGGATCAAAACATCCAATGTTTTGGCAATATACAAACTCATTAATTTTAATGTTTAAGAGACATTTTTTATTTTTTATTTTAAATTAAAGATAATATTCGAGTCACATAAAATGTAAAGACCATGACTATTTTTTATTAATTTAGTGTTACAAATCTATTATTTATGGAAATTTCAATATTAAATAATTGATAATATATATAATTTAACACCATAGATTATTTCAAATATCTAATAATTAATTTCTCAAAAAAAAAAAAAATGTGGTCCTATTGAATAATTATATTATTTAGAATTATTATTTTACAATATGTCAACATCTAAATAAAGGTGGTATAAATTTGGCTCAATGATGAAAAGGTAAAAAAAAATAGGTTAAAATTATAAATTTAAAAAATTACTTTTGTCAATTTTTTTTAATTTTAAAATCATTATTTAATTAAATTGTATAAATTAATTTTAAGATTTATTGAAAATACAAAATATATATATATATATATGTCGTACATTAGGAATCATTTTTGTAAAAATTTTTGGATTAACTAAATGTAATAGCATAAGCTCGTCTATTGGTTGCTTTGGCTCTGTTACGTAATGTCGTCAGCTTTACGGTTTTAAAACGCATCTACTAAGGAGTCTCATGGTTTTAAAACGCATCTACTAAAGAGTTTCACAGTTTTAAAGTCAGCCTCATGGTTTTAAAACATGTCTACTAGGGAGAGATTTCCACACACTTGTAAGAAATGTTTCGTTCCCCCTCTAACTCAAGGTTTCTACACCTTTATAAGAAATGTTCTGTTCCCCCTTCCAACCTAAGGTTTCCACACTCTTATAAGAAATATTTCGTTCCCCCTCGCTGACACACCACCCAGTGTCTGGCTATGACACTATTTGTAACAGTCTAAGCCCACCGCTAATAGATATTGTCCCCTTTGAGCATTTCCTTCCGTGCTTTCTTAAGGTTCTAAAACAAGTATGTTAGAGAGAGGTTTCTACACCCTTATAAAGAATGTTTCGTTCCCCTCTCCAACCGAGGTAAGATCTCACAAGATCTATCATAAACTTTCTCCATAATACCCAACGAACCGTTCATTCCGTTTAGTCAAGTCATAGGGACTTCATCGTTCCATTTTATTTTGCATTTAATGAAATAAAACACATAAACACAATGAATACATGCCTTATTTCTGTGGGTGGACTACTAAAGTCTTAATACCCACTATACCTGTAACTTCAAAAGTTACACCGATACATAATTTGCATGCCGGCCATTCTGCACTGACTTCCTTTCCATCTCATGGCCACAGCTTGATAGCCTTATGGGAACACCGCTCGTCACCTCATCTACATCATTGGCGGCCGTAGTATCAGGTTTAGGAGGCATTAATGCGACAGGGATACCATCGCCAGTACCAACAGTTGCACCAATGTTCAACAGAAGCTTGATGTTTTGGGTCACGACGTTTGAAGTAACGTTTGTTATTTGAACACGATTTCCTTGAGGGTCTATAAGGATAACTGGAGTTTCAAATTGCCCATTTTTGTTCTTGGCAATTTGGATTTGTTTGGAGAGCGCAGACCAGTTGTTTTCCAAGCTTATGATCGTTTGACTTGGCTTAAATTTCGTCCCAACATTGTTAGCAATCTGTAGCTCGATATATCTAAACCTTGCAGCTTCAGAGGTCGTTTGAATGAGAACGAGCAGCGCTGAAGCAGCAGCCTCGGCGTTGTAATGAAACAAGGTAGTAATGGCACTGTCTAGAGCTGGGAGTCCAAGCTCGATGTTTTCTCTTAGTTTTTTTGCAGCAGTTTGAAGGTTCTCGTAATTACCTGTATATGGAAGTGTCCTTTGCTGAGTGCCTTTGAACAGCAATTTGGGAGCTTGAGCTGGAATTTGCTGAAAAAAGTAGGACACGGTGCCTGTGCTGTATGCCACGATATAAACGTTTAGCACATCTATGGCAGCTGTGATGGATTGACCGTCGTAATTGACAAGATCTATTAGTATGAAGCGCTTTGAGTCCATTACAGTCGAAAGTAACACAGAAATATCATACACTTTCCCATCCTTTGGAAGTGCTTCCCTCAAATTTTTTATAAAAGTTTTGTAAGATGAGCTTGTGGCACCAGACAAGTCGAAACGCACATTGGCATCAGCAGGACGAGTGTTGAGGAAGATGGCGAGAAATAGAAACGAAAGGGCTAAGGATTTGTTCATCTTTTTTGAGTTGATGGGTTTGGATGTCATTTGATCATCTCCCCCCCTATAGTTTATATTAACAAGGGGGTGGCACTAGATATTTTCTTCATTCACTCTCCCACCAATCAATATCTTATCTTGATTTACCATTTCTTTTTTACTTTTTTACTTGACCAATACAGGTTGTAGAGATATCACGGGACGGGGATAAATAAAGCTTTCTCGTCCCCAACACCTATTTCAGTTCTCATTCTCACGAAATTCTCCATTTATATTTGCTTGGAAAGAGCAGACCAACTATTTTTCAGACTTATAATTGCTCAACATGCTTGCCAATTTGTTGCTCGATAAATTTATACCTCGTAGACTCAGTTGTCGACTAAGTATAACAACACAAACCCATCGCTATCAAATATTATTCTTTTCGGGCTTTCCCTTTTGGGCTTCCTCTAAAAGTTTTTAAAACGCGTCTGTTAGAAAGATGTTTCCATACCCTTATAAAGAATGTTTTGTTACCTTCTCCAATCGATGTGGGATCTCACAATCCACCCCCTTTTAGAATCCAACGTCCTCGCTGGCACACCGCTCGGTGTCTGGCTCTGATACCATTTGTAACCGTCTAAGCCCACCACTAGTAGATATTGTCCTCTTTGAACTTTCTCTTTTGAGCTTCCCCTAAAGATTTCTAAAACGTATCTGCTAGGGAGAGGTTTCTATAAAGAATGTTTCGTTCTCCTCTACGGTCTCCATGAGATCTACATGAGATCTAGCATGAGATCTAGCAAGAAGTGCTGTCACTAGGATTGCCATTGCAGTAAAACAAGGTGGTAATGGCACTGTCAAAGCTGGGAGCCAAAGCAGAATACCCTTGTTTTGCCTGCAGCGTCTTGAAGTCTCTCGTAATTGCCAGAATATGCAAGTGTAACCTTTTCCACTTCAGGATTTTGGATGCCATTGGAGCATCACAAGCTGTGGTTTTTAAGGAGCCATCTAAGAGTATAGTATACTTTTCTGTTTCCTGTGTGGTCCATGTCTAGGAACCATTCGTGTATGTATATTTTCAAGCACCGTATCCTTCGGATACGAGAATACCTGAAGGAGCATAATGGTCCCAAGGAGGGATGATATTGAGGAACTTGCTGAGAAGTTCCCATAAAGTATCAACAATTTTGTTTCGCAAGCACGAAGAACATACTTGTTCTTCATGAAAGCAAGACATATCAAGTTTGAATCCGTCTTCTTCGTCGTGGATAACGGGAATTCGAATCCCAACCTGTAACAGGTGAATGGAGAATACAAGATAGTTCAATATTTAAATTTAACATATCTACTTTTTGTACCATCTAAACACAAGCTTAATAAATCTATTTAACAAAATCTCTAAACATATAATTTAACTAAAACAATGTACGAAGAGAACTACATACCATGGGATACCATTAATAACCCTCCACAACTTTTCGCATCTCTTGGAATTATTGGTACAACCAATTTTGATAAAGACATGATATTGATGTATGAATGGAGAGATAGGATTCACATGTTGAAGCACGTTTTCTCTCTCTTGTTCTTAACGAAAGTATCTAAACTTGTGAGAAGGAATATATGTTCTAAAGTAGAAATCATCTTTCATTCTATTGATACTTCCAAATACTTTTATATAAAATTGTCGTAATCATTCAAAGAAACAGACAAGATCGAACCATTATTTAGTCCTTCAGAGCTTATAAAATTACAGTCTTATAATTTAACTATTACCTATCATAGTTATGCAAACGGATGAATTAGACATGATTTCACAGTAAAAACAGTAAAATCTCGATAAATGCATAGAATTCATTCTCAAAGAGAATACTACCTAAATAACTTGCATATCTACAAGGTATCAAACCCCAAACTTGAATCATTGCTTGTCCTCGAATAGTGCCACAAAGCTCGGTTGCAATCGGTAAATTTTGTATGTAATTACGACAATTGTCTTATCACTAATCCAAATAAGAAATTTTCCTTGGGACCGCCTACTATGTTTTTAGTTCCAAAGTTCTAGATTCACTTTTCCTATCAAAGCTCCAAATGCTTAAAGACAACATATACCACTTGAGGTTGGTGAGACCATGTGGTATAAACGGAGGCATATCATTCCTTGTGGAGTGATTCTAATCTCGATCTATGTTCGAACTTTTCTGAAGCATTTCTAACTGTACACAATAGGGCAAACCACATTTTTTGCTACAACTTTCTAAACCTCACATACGGATCCCTGAGTGATTCATTCTCACATTACTTAAATGTCATGATATCCTTTACATCATTGGTAGAAAATACTTGATTAAGAAACTCTCTCCAAAGTCATCCCAAGATGGGATAATTCAGGCAGGAAAAGAGTTCTTGCAAAGGGATTATCAAGAACCAAATAAAGGAATAACAATAACAGACACTCAAGGAATAATAAACTATCACAAATCTCCAAAAAAAAAAAAAAGCTCTTGAGACTCAAATGTGAATCTTCTAGAAAGCCACAATATCGCCCAAAGGCGCCTAGAACCTCACAAGCTTCGCCTCAAATTACAATGCAATGATCAATGGGCATGCTAACCCTTGTTGTTGTATACAAATATACACATAATATAATTTGTTACGCCAATATGTATCACTAATAGATATCTATCATTGATAGGCGTAGGAATAGTATGTCAATAATAGGTTTTTGTGTATCAAACACATAAAAATGAATGGTAATAAGCATAAAAGAGTTTACTATTGATAGAATAAACATAAAAATTGGTTCTCAATAATAAACATGAAAACGATCAATTCATGGTAGACATCTAGCAATGTTAAACATCTATATCAATGATGGTCATAGAAATAGTCAATTAGTGACAGATGTAAAAATGCTCTACCAATGATAAATGTCCACCAATACGTGATAGATGGGTTAGAAAACGAAATTACAGAAGAATAGGACGTTTGGCATAGTTGCAAATAATCCAACCAATTTTGACACCCATTACAATTTTCCAATTCCATTCCATCCAAGTCCAATATGCCTTTATTTCTCTTCATATGGCATGATGTTTATAGCCATCTATGAAAGTACACTATAACTGTCATCAGCTTAACTTAAACTCTATGATGTTTAAAAAAAGCTACCATCAAAATATACAATCAATGACATTGGTGGTCCTTGTAATATTGTAAGAATCTAAGTTCCCAAGGATAGTTTAGGGATTATCTTAACTCAACCCAAGTATATCACTAATTTACAAGCTAGCTTAGCTCGATACACAATATTTAACCATCCCCATCACCCATTGCCACAAGGAAAACCTTGTAAACAACAACAGATGGTGTTCTTATATAAATCACCCTACTCTGATTTTCTGCAACTCGGGTTTATCAAGTTCTCAACCATATCTTACACTATCTTAAAGGTTCTCTATGCCATGGTTTATAAATTAAAGTAGCTCCTAATTTCGCATCCATAGGCCACTCGGATACAGATTTTCCTTGACGACATTGACAAATAATTGGTGGGCAAGGCATGTTCTTTGGCTTTTTTTTTTCCCCCCTCTTTCTTATTGCACTATCTTGCTCTAACAATGTATAAAACAAGTCATGTTAATGAATGGACTGGCTCTAATCCTTCCTACGAGAGCGGCTATGATCTCCCCTAGCTTCGGTTCCTACAGACTACATAGTGTGACAAACACATGTACATACATATATTGCTAAGAAATAAGCCTAGCAATATAGAAAATGGCTCTTAAGTCTGACTCAAAATGCAGGTGATTCACATAAACTACAAAAACATAAGTTCTTGAAAAGAAAATCATTCATATTTATTGATGAAAGGAGTTGAAAAATTATGTACAGTGACAATAAACAAGTAAGGTAATAATTGATACCAGAAAAATCAGGGCGACGGTTTCAGCAACGATGTGAGAGTTTCATACTTGGTGACCAACATGTGGCCCAACTCTTTTTGAATGTTCTTTCCCAGAAAATGTCAACCCTTCATTTCCAATCAAGCAAGTCCAAAAGCCATAATACCTCATCCTTTGTGTTTGCAGCATCACAGAAATCCATTACAATTCCAAAAACATCAATTATGCCATCATTTCCATCGTCCAAGAAAAGCAATGAGATCCATGCTCGGATTCCGGAGACAAATGGGTAGAGAGGTGAAAAATCAAGGTAGTCAAAAGCCAGTGTCCTGTATGATGTTCGATCAATGTAATCAAATACAGATTTGTTGACTATACGAGCAACTTTATTGGAATCCTTGCGTCCTACAAGCACGGATACGCTCACAGTATGGGATATAGGAATTGAGAACCTTGGCTGAACAGGTAGTGTCATCTTGAACTCTGGGGCTTCTAGGTGATAATTAATCACATTACTAGTACCAGGTGGTGGCTTCATACCACTCTGGAGGACTTGACCTGCAACTACTTCTGAGAAGATTAATCTGTCTTCACTCCAAATGTCAATAAAAAACTCTAGATCATCAAAGGAAAGTCGAGGAGGGAGAAGACGTCGATTATTGGGACGTTTGTAAAAGTTTTGATATAATTTATAGTAGGTATTGGTAGGAGGATCGGGATTTTTGCAGGTTGAAGGCCACTTCTTGGCGCACAAACATTTCCAAAAGAAATCATCTCGAGCTATGTCTCTCCACTGCTTGCACACTGCCATGCAGGAAGCAAGGTCCACACCTTCCAGCAACGGAAAAATCACCTTCAAAATTTCTTCCCATCTCATTTTCCAGATAGAAGTAGTATAACAAGAGGGGCAAGGATTTAATCCTGCAACAATAAATCACAAAGACTAGTCAGAACAATACATTTAGATCAATTTACGAGGAAAGATGATACTGTAATTTAAATTATATTGAAAACAGAGTCACATTTGTGACGGAAATTTTCACAAGAGGAGGAGACAGAGCATTGTAGTAGAAAGTAACAAATAATACCTACAAGATCATATGAATTACATTAGAGAATTAAAGTGGTAGCCATGACTTACAATCTCTATAGAACGAGTTTCAAAGGAAAACTACCACAGGCTTTCATTAAAAAAATAATAAATAAATAAAAACTACCACGTGCTAAACTGAGGAAACTCAAATAGATTACTCATTCAAATACAAACTACAAACACAACAAATAGATAAGTTGTTCGAAGGCGAACAAAATGCTACACAGAACTAACACATGATCTCCGTACTTCAGTGGCGAGGGCTGCATGCCATTTGCTGTGTGTATTGTACATCTATATACAACGAAAGTCTTTAAGAGAGGGATTAAAAGAAATATTGAATAGCTCAAACGTTGAATAGTTCATCTACCAATTCTGATCAACACTAAACAGTTAAAAGTCTTCGAATTTTAGAACTCAAAAACCACTTCCACAAGAAAAAAATGTCATAAACTGAAAAAATAAATTAAAAACAAAAAAAAATTGAAAATCGTGTTTCCAGTAGCAGAAGAAACATCCATACGTTTCCAAGTTTCATAGACATTGCCAGTTTGAAACACTGAATTCTTCAATGAAAATTGTAGGTAAGGTTAACAGTCATCCGAATGCCAAAACTTATGATGATACAGAAAACCATACAATCTTGCAAATCGCTGTAAGAGAATAAAAATTGGATAGACAGAGAGAGAAAGATGGAGATCAAACCCTAGGAGATCATACGCCCGAGAAAACGAAGTAAAATACACTTTACTCCGAATCTGATGACGTAGAGTGAAGAGATAATGCGATCCTAGTCAATATCAATAATTTCGAACTTCAAATTCCGGCGGAATCGGTGAAATTACCGATTTAATCGAGATCAGAACAAGGGAGAGAGACCCTCAGAAAGTCCGACGAGAGAGAGACCACGATTCAACGACTACAATTTAAAATGTAAGAGAAATTGACATTTATTCCCTATTGGGTGCCGGCCCATTAGGTTCAATAATATTGCCGTTGTTTTTTTTTTTTTTTTTTTTTTTTTTTTTTTTTTTTTTTTTTTTCTTT